TTTGTGGGACCTTCCATCTTTCTTGGCCTGTTCATCTTCCAGATTCATCTATAACAACATCTTATACATTTTAACAATAACTTATCATTTATACAAAAACATTTAAAGAGTTGCATATAAGTAGATCACTATAAAGCCTTCTAACTCTTAACTATTCTTTTATTTTAAAATTTAATTCACCCTATCCCTTCTCATTTTTCCCAACAAAAGAGGATTTTATTCTTTTTCAAAGTGTGCAGCATGTTTCTAGCCTCAGTTTTGGGATAGCTTTTCACCTCTTGAAGCTATGTTGAAAAAGTTCTCAAGTATTACACAAGAAGGTTTTGCATGAAAACAAGTTTCCTACTACCAGCATAAGCCTCTTTGTACCATATGACTGACCCAGCTGGCCACTCCTTAGAGTGAAATAATTATTTCTGTACTCTGGGGAAATTTGCTTTCTCTCAAACATCCTTTGGATTTGGGGCTCAGACAAACTCCTCTAAACCCACCATTGACTGAGCCAGGTTACTTGGACAACATTTTAATTTCCCCTTGATCCAGTTAATTGTATTGTGCGATTAGAGCCAGTGTGACATGCTGCACTGTTCATGCAATCAGTTCACTGTTCATGCAATTTTCTAAACACTAAAAGCAGATTAACAAAACCCAGTTGCTGGGTTTGCATAGCATTCTGTGCTCGAAGAAACCATATTATGGCTTAGTTTGATGGCCTGATTCACACAATGTGCCAAGACAATGGCAGGGCCCCAGAACATATTAAACCACATTCTGCCTAATTTAGCTTCATCTAACATGTTGGACTATGTATTCCTGTATGTTTGGAGGAGGGCAAGTATGGCATAAGTCATGACATTATGCAAATGAGGTAAATAATGTACATCAGACTTGACTGACGTAAATTATGGAATTTGCACCATTTGTATGATGTCATGACTCATGAGATGTCATCCTGGCTTTTACCAGACATCTGTGTTTGGAATCACAGCCACTTGGCTATCCTGAAGCAGCAGGAATAGGCATATGTGTGTTTGGGGGTGAATTACTTGTGTTGTCTAGCTGTCTGGTCCATACAACTCTGCCACTACTTAAGACCATCATCAACTTCTTTCCAAAGTGTTTCCCTGCAAAGCCAATAATAGCTTGCTCAGAGCTGTTTCCTGCCTTGGGGCTGTATGGATGGCCATTATAAAACAAATAAAGGCAGCTTTGTGTTTGGTCCTTATTCATTTATTCTTAGAAGCAGAATGCATGAACTTATAAACTACAACTCATCATAAGATGACAAATCAATTTGAAAGAGTGGAAGCAGATAATACAACAGCATAAGTGTTGGAAATGGCTGATCCTTCCTGAAGGTGTGTGTTGAGCTTCAATGATGATTTATTAGATTTAATATAGCTGCCCATTCCAGTGGATTCTAAGAAGTGATAGATGCAAAAACGCATTCCTACAAATATTTTAAGCACCAGGCTTTTCCCCACCCAAAAAAATAACTCATATATGACCTTTTCAGCAATAATTTGGTGGGGGAAAGGGCAAATCGTTTGTTCTTATGCTAAGGATATGTGTTAATGTTTACTACAATATTTGGGTCTTTCCCATCAAAGCAATCCTGGCTATTTCCAAGGCTCTCCTTTCATGAAGAGCTCATGCTCAGAAATATGCAAAAAAAAAAAAAAAAATTCAAAATGTGGGAGATTGGAAATGTGTGTGTGGGGGAATTTATCGTTTATGATGGCAGACTGTTTTTGTGAAGAGAAAGCAGACCTTACTTAGCACAGCCAGTTGGGTCTGGAGGTTAAGGCGCTGGACTAGAATTGGGGAAATCGGAGCCTTGTCCTGTCTTAGGCTTGGAAGCCAGTGGGGTGACCCTGAGCCAGTCACTCCCTTCAGTGCTGGGAAGAAAGCAATGACAAACCATTTCCGAAAATGTTGCCCGGAAAGCTGCATGGAGTTACTCAGGTACTTGCCAGAATGCAAGAGTGACCTGAAAGCCCTTTCTTCCCCCTCCCATTAAAAGGAAAGTGAGGAGATATGATGGAAGCATGTAAAAGAATGAGAACCCCATTCTTTTTGAGTGGGTGGAGTTTCAGCCCGCCCTAGATTTTCAGGGGTGGGGGTACAGAAATAATTGAATTAATGTTGAGATTTTAAAAACTCATACTACTGTACTGGAAAGAATTAGTCTTGCTACCGGTTGTCCATCGAGCTAAGCGACGCTATCCCCGATGGGGGAAGCCCCCCAATCCGCCTTTTTCATTGGCTGTTTCGTTGATAGAACCACTAATTAGCCAATCACATGTTAGTGCGGCGAGACTCCCACCCTTGTTAACTTTTGTTTCAAAGTAGCGTGAGAACTCCGAAAACTGGTTAATTCAGTAACCCCGCTTAATGTGGAAAGTGTCAGTCACAGCAGTTACATTCACACGATATGCCAAACTCGGTGGTTGTTAACCTGATCTTGTTTTGCAAAGCCAAACTCTGGTCAGTGTATGATTCATTTAAGTGTGCAAATACAGAATATGGATCAACCCAGCAACTAAGCGAAGCGAAGTTTGGTTAAAGTAAGTAGACATGTTTGGGAACATAACCTCTGAAGAGAGGAGGCCCTGATGTTCCTGGCAGGACAACGGGGGCAGGACGGAATAAAAACACGCTTCAGAACTAAAGAAACGGTTACCTCCTAGTCTCCGGAAGCGTCCCTCTCATTCGGGCTGCTGCAAAAATCCGGAGTATGGCAAGCGAAGAGGTTTCTGATTCTGCTCGCTGGAGTCTGTTGGTCGTCCGGGTTTTTGCAGCCCAGATCTGGCAGTCCTACTAATATGCGCCGGCCACGGGCACACCTCTTCGTCCGCCACCTCAGAGACGAGATCAGAGAAAAGGGTCCCCAACTTTCCGCGCTGCAGGGTTTGCGCCCACCACCACTTCGTCTGCACATCCATAGCGAACCAACCCGCCCAGGGGCTAAAGCTTCGATTCATTCGTTTAAAAAAAACTGCTGCCGACGGCTCCGGGTATTGGCTATAAGGATTCGCGTATTCAAATGTCCTGATCTCGCGCTTCTGTTGATTCATTCATTCATTCCTTTCTTTCTCTCCTCTACGGGTTTACAAAGAGGCAGCAGCCAATCACGGCCGCGTTCTACAGCGCCTGCCTCGTTGCCATAGGAGGCGTCGCCCCATTCCCATGGAAACAGGTTTGTTGATCCCGGTTTTCGCTCTTCTACGCCCCAATTGGAACTCGCGAACGGAGGAGCTGCTGTGGAGAGCGCCGCCAAAGGGTGGGTACCCAGGCTCGCGTGGGACGGCGAGCTCTGTTAATAACGGGGATAATGAATATTGCTTGAGATCCTCGTGCCCTCATGCACGTCAAATTTGGAGCAGCTCCTTTCCTGTCGTGCCTTTCTGGGGATTTTGCAAGAAGCTGCTGCAGTATCGAACGTGTGAAATCGACATTTGAAGTCGATCAGTTCTTGTATTTCTGGCTTAAGGCAGGGGTCTCCGGCCCCTCCCTGCTGTTTCTAGGGGCAGGCCATGGCCTGACTAGTTCCTCCCTCTTCGACCTGTTGCAAGGCCTTTATGCCTCTGACTGAATGTGTATTCATTTTCCTTTCGTGCATGTTTGATCTTCTTAATGCTTATTTCATCTCTATAACTTTCCAGTCGAGCAGGTTAAAGGACCGAGCAAAGCAATTTGTTTGAGCATTTAGGGACTTTTGGCTTGGGGAGATTGGACAGTGTGATGTAGGGTGGCCACTGGCTTTTCTGCATGAATTCACAGAAGAAGCTGTTTGGTCTACAGTATATGGCAGTTTCTCAACCTTGGCAGCTTGAAGATGGGTGGACTTCAACTCCCAGAATTCCCCAGCCAGCTGGCTGG